CTCTTAAACAAAAAGATGATTGGCTTGTGTGCAGGGTATACAAAAAGAAAATAAAAAGAAAGATGAGAATTTGAATGTGCAGATGGCATGAAACCCTGATATGCATAAATTAGAATTTTATTCTTCTACAATTTAATTTCTGTGTGATGGCCCATTTCAATATGATGATAGAAGTCTCAAGCAGTTCAAGATTCTCTGTCTCCTATTTTCCTCATGGGCCACTGCTGAAGGATCCCTTGCTTCTGTCTGTCTGCAGCTCTGTGATCCTTCCATGACATTCACAGAAGCTCTCCTCCATGAGGCAACCGAGATTGCTTTACTAGGTTCACCTAACCATCTTAACACAAGGCCTCTGCAAAGTTCACCACAGTAGAGAAAGAGCTATCCAGAACGGCTGCTAGGTACTTCTGTCTGAAGGTGACACACATCAATTCATTGACTGGAACTTTTCCTGTGGCCTGCTGCAAGGGCATGAATGTGGAGTTTTCTGTGTGCCCAGAAAGAGACAAGAACTGGATATTGATGAAAACAAGTAATGTTTATCACTACTCATCTAGGCTCTGGAGTACAAACCAGATATCATTTATCCTTCCTTCGTGGAGCTGTCAATCCAGAGTGGAATGCTCCTAGGAACACTATACTATCCGTAAAGAGCCAGTTTTCTGCCCAAGCAAGGCAAGCATCTAAATTAAAGAGATTGCATTCAGTACATCTAGGAAGGGGTAACAGTTCAGTATAAGTGACAAGTATGGAGAGCTTAGAAATCCTCAATAAATATTTACTGAATGAATGTTAAATGAGGAATAAGAAGAAATTTAGCTCTAAGAAACTAAATGGAAATGCAACAGAGAGAGAACAGATATAGGAAGAAAAACACATGGAAACAGTTTATGCTTTTCAAATGTTCTGAATAATATTTGGGAATAAAAGCTGTTCTTGCTGTATCTACTGCTTCCAGTAAGCTTGAAATATTTCCGCGCTGGTCTCTTCTGCCATAGTGGGGGTGCGAAGAAACTAATTCCCAGCCAGACTGTTTCATTCTTATCTACTCAAGAGTATGGAAATCTGGGGGAAGCTTGAACCCTGACTCATCTTCTGGAATGTTTTGTGATGAATGAAGTTGGCTTGATTGGCAGCTGTCAAATGTAGAGGGATCTCAGGAAAGGAGGAATTGTGCTGCTATAAATACTGAAAATGTTACAAGGTTAAGCAGAACATCTACTAATACAATTTTATGGTGAAATATTAAGGAAGGATGGTTTCTTAAAAGCATTAAAATGATTTATATAGAATATTTAAAGAAAAGATAGAAAACATGAGGAAAAAAAGAAGCATTATGACAACTCCTAGAGATAATCCCTGTTAACAATTTGGTGTACTTCCAAATTTTCTAGACACACACATCCACTTGTCTTACAAAAACAGATCATATAGTATATATTACTCTGTCATCTCCCTTTTACCCAATAGTATTTTTTGAATAGTTTTCCATTTCAAGAAGTGTATTTCTGCAACATTATTTTTAATAGCTACATGATCTTGCATCATATGTGTGTATCAAAATATATTTATTTATCATTCCATTAGGTTGTTTACAGATGGTTGCCATTATAAACAATGCTGTTATGAACATACTGTAGCTGAATTTCTATGTGTATATTTTATAGAATAACTTTTCTAAATTGGAATTACTGGGACAAAAGTTAGTATTTACATTACTGAACTACCTTAAAAGATGGTCTCAATTTACATTCCTAACAGCAATGGATGAGAACGGAAGAGTGAGCCCATAAACCAATAACTGTGGTTGTGAGAATTGAGTATATTATTAAATGAGTGTTTAAACTTGACAGCTGTTAGCAGAAAGGGGCACTCAGTATATTATCTTTAAATTTCCCATCCTATGTATTTAATGCTATACGCTAAAATCATACATATGAAAGTTTCACATTAGATTTCTTAGAAAAGAATTTAAGATAGATTCACATATTATGCTAAATGGGTTTATTAATATCCTGAGTTGTGGGGTAACATCCATGGATGACCAGTTGGATGTCTAGAATGAGTTACTCACTCAGGAAAATATATTGAGCTCTGCTACTGAGTATCATCATGCCTTGATATATGCTATGGCAAAATATTTGTGCACATCTTTAATGATTGAATGTTAGGCAATTTTCCATTTTTCTAAAAAGAAAACGCAGAAATTTTTTCAGCTAAATTGACAATATTAGACTTTGAATGACACAGATGAAATAATTGTGGGTACACTTATAATATGCAATCTACTAATTTAGACATAAATAGTACTTTAAAGCACATATCATGAGAAATATTTCTAGAATTGCTTTTTCTAGTATTGCTTTTATTATATATAAATATATATATATTATTGCTAATATTTCTAGTATTGCTTTTTCCCCACTCTTACGTTTCATGAAGCAGTTCTGATCCAACTCCCTCTCCCATACATTCTTGACTTCAGAATGGTGCCACCTTCTCAGGCAGCTGGCCTGTTTTTACCACCTGTCATCTGGAATTCAGTCTGAGTGGTTTGGTGCACAGGACTTTGTGAAACTGTGTATGATGCCATAACTGGAAATCTTTTTCCCAGCTATAAAAATCCACTTACTACTTATGATCTCCAGTAACCACTTACCCTATTACTTTTTTTAGTGGTCTTTAAAATACTTGTTTTCAACAACATCCAACACTTAGAATTGTTAGGTCATGTCTCCCAAAATAATTACCTACTCAGTATTAAATTCCTTTGCTTCTGTTTTTACCAGCGCCATCCAGTGAATGACTGCTAAAACTAGCCGAAACTCTCATCACTTGACATTGTTTCAGGCTAATGCATGTTAACTAAACAGTACTGTGTTCAAAATAAAGTAATTGAGAGAGTGCCTGTATTATGAGAGACTTCATAAGAACTTTAGTTTAAAATGCCTCTTTTTCTGAGGGATAATTTTGGGGAAGAAAAATCTCACCTTACATTCTGCCATATGTTACGGTTTAAACAAAAAGAAAAGGGATTCACACAAATCTCTTTTGTGTTCTTATGCAAAGTGACTTGACTATGAAAGCTTTTGTTCACCTATAGGAAATATCTAGAGAATACAGCAGGATTGTGATGCATTTATCTTGTATAGAAACACTGAAAATAGAAGTTTATGGAGCCTGCTGCTTTGAGCATATTCACATCGGAATCTTTTAAGAACTACAGCCTCTACCCGATTAAGCCTCCTCCCAACTCAAAATCTCATCTACTTTTACTTTGATACACAAAAAAAGGCAGAAAATATTTAGAATAGATGGTCTCTTGGGTATCCATAGCCAAAATTTTTGGAACTCAAAATGAAAAATTTAGAGAACTGAGTGGCTAGATTTCCCTATAGTGTTACTCCCTCTCTAAGATATATTGTTATATTGTTTCCATTGTTTTCATCTTAGCATTTCCAAGAGAATCAGACTAGAAGAACATTTTATAGATTAGGTGGCAGCTATTTGATTGATATGGTTGAAGATAGCATATGGTGTATTCTTTACTTTTATACTGTTTTGAATCTTTGTTCTTGCCCACAGTAGTAGTATATATAAAAACTATCCAAAAACTTCCCAATGGCACATGTATGTAATGCACATCATCTTAAAAAGCGATGAACATTTTGCCAATGCATTCTTTAGTATTTGAAATAAATCAAACTGAGAGATGTAGAGCTTAAAATAAATGGTTATAGAATTTAATTCTATAAGATCTTATAATTTCATAAGATTATAAATGCTGTTTTAAAATGTTAATTAGAAAATGCATTTGTTTTAATTCATGATACTGAAAATATTGACTGAATTGTGAATTAACACATTTAGGGTTGCAGATGTCATTTTTCTTGAGATTTTCTGAATGATGTAATTTTCATATTTCATATAGCAGTTTGATCAATTTACAGATTTATTTTACATAATTAGTTGGTAAATGAGAATTTCAATTGCTGATATATAACTATTTTTACATAATATAAAAAAGAAGTTAAAATTCTGAATTATAAATAAAAAAACAAATATTTTGAAGACATCTGGTCCACATCTGTCTGAAATAAGATAATTTAAAACAGTGTAATTAAATGCAAGAAATACTGAAATATTCACACCTTAGGATGTTAAAAAAAAAACTCATTTCATCTTAATGTGATTTGTTGAATTGTAGATTTTTTTCTTTAATTTTAGTGTCCTTTACCCTCTCATTCTGTCATTTACAAAGAAGAGTGACAAGCTAAACAAACACAAAATAATCCATGTGTTTCAAAGCCTCTACTAAATGAAAGAATTATCTTTATTATTATTCTTTTATATGTTGCATAACTCCACTCCTAAGTCAATGCTCAGCGGACATAGACCCAGACCTATCCCCTTTTGATGTATTTATAATTCTCAATTCAATTATTTAAAACGAGAGATTAGTGAGAGGGTCTCTAATCTCACTCCCTAAATTGTGCGTGCCTTGTGGGCACAAAGGGACTCAGTAAATGTGAGAGGGAGGTATTCAGACCCATGGAAATGAAAAGCATCTTTGGTACATTCTCATGATCAGTAGAGAATCATCCTTTGAAGATTGTTCTTTTTTAAAAAAAAAAATATGTTAAGTGGAAAATTAACCATTTTAGAAAAAAGGAAAATGTACATAAGATACATAGTATAACCTATAGTACAACCTTAAGATGTGAAAAACAAGGAAGATTTCTCCTTGGATAAAAGGCTACAAAGCCTTAAAGCCTCAATAAAACTGGATTTTAATCATAACAGAGAAGTTTGCAGACATGAAAACACTCACTGCTGATACTACAATGTAAGGTTGTAGGGAGAAATCTCTGCTTGGATGCCAGAGGCTCCCCTAACCCCCAATGGACCACAAAAAGATTTGATATCGTGAGAAGTGAAACCTCTTTTCCTGACACATACCCTAAAGTAACACAAGTTATATTTTGTGTGTTTCTTTCCAGGGAGCATGATAAAGATCCAGAAAGTTTTTTTAAGGTATTAATGCATCTTAAGGACTTAGGACTCAATTTTCACGTCTCTGTCCTTGGAGAAACCTTCACAGACGTCCCAGGTACCTCTTTTGAATTTTCTAATGTGTATTTTTATAGATGACATAAGCTCTACAACTTACGAATTAATTTCCATGTTTCCCTTTGTTAGAATAATCAAGATGAGCACTGTTAACCAAAAGATTATACGATGGCATTAAAGTCTGATTCAATTAAAAAAAATACTTAAGTAAGCATTCTTTGATTTAAGTTGAGAACGTGAAGTCATCTCTTTTATCAAATATAGTTTATACAATGCATCTTGATGTAAATAAAATATATTGCTTTAGGCATCTTAACACTTAAGGAAAGTGGGAATTTGTAATTGGATGTACAACCTCTCACCTCTGGGGTCACTGGTTTGAATCCTGCTCACGTTGGTAATGGCTGGAATACATTACCATCTGTTAGGTGGCCTGTGTAAAGCATTTTGGCATCTAACTTGTAATGGGGCATGGACCACAGTCCATATCATAGTTATCATTGATCCATACCTTTTTTATTGAACTTAAGAAAGACAAAAGTTGGAAACTGATAGTAACAGCTTTTGTCATTCTTAATGCCATGTGGAGCCTTTTCAGGGTCATTTCCTTTACCCTTCATCCTCACTGGTCATGTTTGGGTCAGTAAAATGACCATTCTCAGACCTTTCATAAGTGTTTAAGAATTTGTATCTTTTAAGTTTTGGGTGTTCAGTATTTTTTGAAAACCAAATACACAAGCAATAAAATTTCAAAAATGACCTTTGCCGTTGTGCATTATGACTCCTAAGGACCTCCTAAAGCTTGCTCTCACTTAGCAAGTACTTCTTGAGTCTAGTACAGTGTCAGGAACTGTGTTCAACTTGCATCTGAGTAGCCTCATCTCAGATGGCTCCCCTGCCCTCTGCAGCTGTGGGTACTGACCTGTCTCAGTTCCTCTAAGGCACCTGGCTTCTGTAGATCTTTGCACATTTGCCTGTTTGTTTCTATTTTATCCTTCTGATCTCATCTTGGGGGCATTTTCTTTCAATATGAAGCTTTGTCATGGTCTCTGAGCACTGCGTACTTTGTCTTCATGGTGCTTACCTCAGTTTCAAACTATATGTGTAATTTTTTCATTTCACACATACGCATGCACATACATGTACATATGTACTAGAATGTGGGTGCTAGGAAGAGAGGGACTATGTCTATCTTATTTGTTGCTATGCCGCAAAGCCCAGTGCAATACCTGACACAATGCTAGAGGTAAGTGAATACTTATTAGATAATGAGTAAAAATAATAAAAACTCCCTGCCCTCAAGGAATTTGTAGTTTTGTTGAGGAAGGAACACTTGTGCATATGCATAGGAAACAAAGAGTGAAACATAAGATAATATAATTATATGTTAGTCATGACGCAGGTGACTTAGATTGTTACTTGAAGGGCTCGTACTTGAATAGCCTGAAAAGAAGGATTAAATTATTCCAAAAGGGGAAACGACATGGGCAGAGCACATAGAAGCAAAAATCTTAGATACTGTGTTTAAGTGAGAGAAAAACTTCAATGATTAGTGCTGTGAGGTCACTCATCTAAACAGAACAGAAGATCCTACTCGTAGATCTTAGTAAGTTGCTATGTACATTACACCGGTAGGGCGGGGCCGATATATGCAAGCTCTTGATAACCAAAGTAGATTAGGTAAAGATAAGGATTAGGGAGCTGAAATCTTGAGCGGGGAAGAAATGTGATGAAACTTAATTTTAGGAAGCTGTATCTTGCAATGATATGTAGGCAGAATCTCTGTAAGCCCCTGGGGTGGTAACCCAAGTGTGATTTCTGTGAAGTGGTGGCAGAGGGCTTAGTGTGAGAGAGGGCTGTTCCCAGGAAAATACAGAAAAGAATTTGGTAGATGGATGGCTGTAGGGAAAGAAGGAAAGGAAAACTAGGCTCATTTGCAAAGCTGGTGAGTTCAGTTTTGTTTGTGCCAGCTTTGAAGAATTTGTGGATGAACTGAGAAAAGAGTCTCAAGGAAATCCATCCACAGAAGACTTCTGAGCCACTTTTACCACTGGGTAATTTGAAACCACCGCTACAAAGAAGACTAGGTTTCTACTCAAAGGGTCATATTCTTGGGCTCCCAGCTCTCCTCTCCTAGACATTGACCTTGAGCTATTTGGAGCAATATACACCTTGTGCTCTGCAGTGACAGGTCCAGTCTTAGTGCACACTTTGGCTCCACTTCAGTGCAGACTTAGCACTGTGAACAGGGGATTCCACGGTGAACAGGACTCAGTGTCCCACTCAGGGAGCTCTGTCCTGGGGAGACACATATGTAATTAACAGGTAACTAGGATGCCGTGAAATACTTGGGAAGTGCTATAGAAGCCCACAGGAAGGGATGGCATAATGTCTATGTACTTCAGCCTCAGCTGGGGCTCCTTTCTGCTTCAGCCACGGGTCTATCTCTGTCATTTCAAATATGAATCAACTCTTCACGGCCACAGCACCTCACCTGGCACAGAGGAAGAGCCCAAGCGATGAATGGATGAATGAGCCTGGTACTTTCCAGGTTGTGCTTTTGGAAGGCCACTTTGCTGCTCTCTGCTCCAAAGGTTTCCTAACAGGCCATTCCGTGTACCTTCAGCCATTCTTACAGCCCCTCTGGTTTATTTAACAAACACTTACATTGCACTTGCTTTATCTGTTCTAAGCTGTTGAAAAATGTTAACTCTTTAACTCTTTGAAACCATCCTGTTCAGTATTACTATCTCCATTTTTTTCCCAAGTAGAGAAACTGAGGCACAGAGACATTAAGTAAGGCCACACACAGCTAGGTAGTGCTTCAACCACTATGCCTATGCTGCCTTTTCATGCTCTTGTTTTCTGATTCAACTGACTCTCTAACTTTAAATATTAATTTTTTCCCCCAATTCACTATCCAGCACTCCTGTTCCCTTAACTAGCTCTCCCACAGAAAGGATCACCTGGCAGGCAGACATTTCTTTGTCTGTTGTCTCTTCTTGGTACTATATTAGCAAATCTAAAACTCAGATCATAAAACCAACTTATATACCATGTGATACCAGCCAAAAGAATTGTACTCAACACTGTTAACATTTATAGGGAAGTAGTTTTCTTGTAAGTAACTGTAATAATGATTATTCTTACGCTTTTAATTGAAAGTTTGCTTCTTTCCTGGTCCTTTCCATGGTTATTTCATGTAATATTCATGACAATCCTGATTAAGTAGGCATTATTATCCCATTTTATGGGCAGAGGAACTGAGTCTGAAAGCTTAAGTCACTTTGATTATTTTGCCTGTGAGTCAAGCTTTTCTCTTTCACATACAAGCCTAGATAGAATGGAAAACCAAGAAAAGTTTAATATATGACAACAGGACCATTAATTGCTCTTTATCCAGCTTCATTCTCTTTCCCTCTCTGCAGAAGTCCTGGGGAAAAGTAGCCACCACTGAGTGATAGCGTTAGCGCCGGCAAGTTTCACTGCCCTTTTTGATGAAGCAAGCAGTCAGTATTAAATTTCTTTTGAAAATTCTAAAACTATAATACAGCAACTTTGTAGAGTCTCCATGCTGTTGATTATTTTCAAGTAAAAATTATGTTATAAGGTTTTTATCATCTTTTTTTTGGAAAGTGCATTAGAATTCAGATTATCAGTTATACTTTATGGCTCTATACTTTATAGCTCTTTTGTATCATCCCCTCATTTTATAAAAGAGGACAGATATCTAGAGAGTCAATGACTTTCACAGAGCCTCTGAGCTGGGCACAGTGGGTGAACAGGAAGTAGGCAGTGGTGAGGATAGGAGTAAACCTGGGAGTTGGTTCTTCTCATCCCTCATCAGTGCTGTGTTTGTTTGCTAAAGGTTTTCTAAATACCTTCTTTGTACCAAGCACTGTGCTAAACATTTAGGATGAAAGGGTGAATAAAGTAGGCATGTTCTGTGACATTTGGAACTTTTAGTCCCACTTCAGTGTTTTATCCATCACTTACTAGAACATTCCTTAAAAATGCTGGAACTGACATTTCTTGAGCACTTAGCATGTGCCAGGCACTGTTCTAAGCCTTTTATGCATCGCCTTACTTAGTCTCTTTACAATACAATGAGTTCACCACTGTTGGAATTACCATTTAAAACAGAAAAATAAGGCACAGGGAGGTTCAGTCACTTGCCTGAAACCACCCAGCCAGTCAATTAAGAAGCCACAAATGAAACCTCGTCACTCCACCTCCGGGGCTAATGTTGAGCCTGTGCTCTATTGGAAATCTCTGAAATCATCCCTATTTTACATGTAAGAAAGCAGGAGATGATATTAGGGGGAAATTTCTAGCCACTCGTGTGAAATCATTTCCATTTTCTCTGAAAATCATCTCCATTTTCTCTTTGTAAATGGAAAGTTAAATACACACACACACACACCCCCTCAAGTTCATTTCCTAACTATCTCCCTCCCTTAGATGGTAAAGTGAATTCCCTCTTCTTTCTTCTGTTTATGTTCGTCACAAGAAAGGCGTCCAAAGCAATATGAAATGAAAAAGATATCCCAAATAACACTTGGTACATATTTAGTGTTCAATAACTATTATTTGAATGAATGAAAAAATGAGTTTGGCATAATAGAATAGCACAATTTACATACCTTATCAGGTATATAGAAACCCACATTGAAACACTTTTTGAATACTAGAAAGAGAATGAAAATAGAGAAGTTTTCAGGACAGACCCTGAGACTAAGCAAGTGTAAGTGGTTTTATATCATATTTTCTGTTTTAATATAGATGATCTTAATTTAGTGTAATCTTTTTGTTCTTCATCTTTGAGTTCTTATGTCAGGGTAAGCTGGGTTATGCTAAGGTAACAGATAATCTTAAAATCTCAGTGGCTTAAAACACATAAGATTCATTTCTTGTTCATATTCTGTGTTTACTGCAGATGAGCAGGAGTGTTCTACTCATTATTGTCATTAGAGGCCCAAAGCTCACAGAGAGACTCCCCCATCCACGATTTTGCTTTCCATGGTTTCAATTAGCCATGGT